GAGGTTTAACAGCGCTCGCAACTGCATATATAATATAAGGTCATATGAGCGGAAGAAGATTAAAAGTGTTAGAAGAGAGTAACAAACATATTAAAAAGAAGAAGGTGAGAAAAGGACGATAGATGAATCAGAGGAAAGAAGAAGCAAACCACACCAGAGCACCCGCCAACCACCCACATAGATTGTATACACAGTGGGCCTCCACACCACAACCAGGCTGAGCTGAGACAACAACGATTCTGAATCAAGGCAGAAAAGGCAGAAAATACATATATATATATATATAAGGATGTCACAGACGACCCACAATTGTTACCACCATTATAATAATAATTATTATTAAGAGAATGCTTTCAATACACATTATATATAAAGCCTATATAGGTGCTAATTTTTCCAAAACAAAAAACAAACTTTGCGTACACAGTAGTAAAGATGGTAGACCCTGCATTGCTATGAAACCCTCTACAATTGACTAATATAATAGACTTTGTTCTCATATTATTCATAAATCCAGTCTTGAAAGTTCATAATTTTTCTTCAGCATAGAGGCAAGTCGGTGAGGAGCAATACTAAGAAAACCGAACCTGTATAGCTTCGTATGTTAAAAAATATGCCAAATAGGTTTGTTTTTTATATACTGGTTGGCAGTTTTACATGTACCATCAGTCATCTTGATAAAGCCTGTTAGAGTTAAGGTGCAAAGTGGAAGGTATAATGGGTGTTTACAACTTCAAACCATTATAGGATATTGGGACGGGGATCTTTTCGTCCAGAAAGATTTTCTCTCCACGTATTTCCCATAAAACTCTTAATAAGAGGTCAACAGGTTCCACCTTTGCCACAAGAAAAAAGGCCCTTTGAAATCTGTGTCCAAAATTAAATAGTTTGAACTCAAGTACATAATATGATGCAGTTTTTTTAAATTTAAGAAGAGATTATCAGTTCACATATTTTTTTAACACACTTCATAATTGCATAGCTAATGCATGCCTGTGTACATGAACCCCCCCCCCCAAACAAGCACCACTTGAATCTACAGTATAATCTACACTTCAAAATATCTCATGCCCATCATGGATGACCAGGAAGTTAAAAATAAAAACCTGTTCAGCGCAGCAACCAAAGTTCATTACAACATCTTGGGCATATATAACACCCTTTTTAGTAAGAGTTATAATATGGTACCTGCAACAAAATTTAGGTCATAAAAGTGCCAAAGATTCTGTAATGTGTTACAAGAGCGGAATAAACACACAAAAGGAGGAGAAATATATGGATAGTAGATGTCCGATGGGAATGGAGCAATTAACCATAACACTAGAGCACCTGCCAACCACCTATTTATTTCTATTATATTTTAAATGGACTTAAAAATGCGCAAACTATCGTATTTTTGTCAGGGCCAGACCTAGTTTATGGTATCACAGTGGCTTTTGGTCTTCCATTATGATTTTGACGGCCGTTGAGTATATATTCTAGATTTTATAATGTGGTCGCTCGTTACGGAAGTCCTCCCTATATATATATAGCCTATATAAATTTTTTATACAACAAACCCCAGTAAGAGCTATCTAAAGGGTGACAAACAGTGAAATGATTTACAGGACTTCACCAATCCTCAAAGTGATGAAGCATATATAACACCTGAAACATGTACTGTTATTACTAGAGTGTTAATTATTCATTTGTTTTTAAATCAAAATGTTCTTAATAAAACTCCCTTATTAATTTCCTGTTTGCAAAAACAAAGCGACAGGCGTGATCTCTCATCTCATACTCATACAAATTGTATATCTGCATCATAGCCTACTTAAATGTTTGTTGTTTTTTTTTTTGTTTTTTTTTTGGGGGGGGTGCTTTATTGTTTTATTTTTTAAAATTTTGTTGTTGTTGTTGCTTTGGCAACATGTACACATGAATTAATTAATAAACTGTTCCTAGCGTTAGTCTGATATTGTTGGACCACAAAGGCCAACATGAATACAACGGTTATACCTTACTGCTTTTTTGAAAAGTTAACGGATATATTGGCTATAATTAATGTCAAGGTTATGATGGTTAAAGATGGTGGCTGACCCTAGCAGACATAAAAAACAACAACTTTTGCAGGCGTTACCTTGTTACCTCGGAATCATTATCTGTGCATAAAAATATAAGGTGCAAATAATTAACAGCATTGACAAAAGTGGGCTAGGTATGAATTTCAAATAAAAATGAGTGACCTCTGACCTTTCTACTTTCTAAAAACTCGGCTAACTTAAGCATAATTAGCCTAACTAGGAGGCTGATCTGATACACCTCAATTAGAATAGAGGCATGAGGAATGTGTCGCTTAGAGAGAACTTATTAATAATAATTGTCGTCACTAAAGGTTATTCTTACCCTTCCATTTGCCTGCTCCGTCATTTTGAAGGATCCTGTCCTCTGCTGACCTCGTAGTATTCAAATATTAACACTTGACTCACCACTGGGTGAAACGATTGGACACACTTTCGCTTGGCCTAGCGCAGACAAGCTGCTGTGCTGTGATCTGTGTTCAGTTCAGTGCTATGTTCGTGCGTGTGTCTGACAATTAATGTCGTAGTTGACTGCCACCTTTTCCTCTTGTGCCCAGTAGTGTCACCTGCTGGGGTAGCCTAATCTTAAGTTGTAAAACACAGCTGTCTTGTAAACACACTACACACATAACACACACCCGTCTTGTTTAGCAACACGAACGAGTCAGTCAGTGCAGCCTCGTAGTCGCAGTGGGCGGTGGTTAGTTATTTGAGTAAGAAGAGACGAACAGAACGAAACAAGAACAGGCGATCGACCCCCAAAGTTTGAGGTCAGCTCCTTCGAGTTTCGTTGAGGACAGCACACGGCGAAAGAAAAGTCAAGACGTGTGTGGAATCGGTCGGCTGACAACTCGGTGTGTAAACTGGGCCGGGGGGACTGACTGGCGGCTGGTGGTGGTGTGTGTCTGGTCTGGGCTTGCCGCGGGAAAATGAATGACCCAATCGTACCTGCGAGCTTGTGAGGGCGAAAATGAGATATTGCTTAATGGGTCTTTGGGTAGATTTATACTAGTTGCGTTAACGGTTCAGATGTCACAAGGCCCTACGCCCTTCATAGTATGGCTTCATTCGTTGTACTCCGGAGGTTAGGCTACTGGTCAGGTTTAAAACACCGTGAATAATTCGCCCACCGGTATGTAATTTTCTGAGAGTAGGCTACATCCTATCCCAATGTCGAAAAGAGGGAGAGGGTATGTGTGTGTGCGTGAGTGTGTGTGTGGGGTGGGGGGAGGGATATAATTATGCAACCATAGATGGTACACCTGCAACCCTGGAGAGTAGGAGTAGGCTACAATTACAATTTTTTTTTTAAAGTAGATATCTAGATAGAAAAAGAGAGCTCAGCGATCTGGGTGGGAGAAAAAGAGAAACGATTATTGTATACTGTACATTAATAATATACAACAACAAAAGTTGAGGTAATTATATATATTGAGAGATCTGGGAGGGGGGGGGGGCGATGTCATTGTCGCATAAATTAAAAGAAATGGAAAGAGAATGATAACTGTTTAAGAGAGAGAGAGAGCGAGAGAGAGAGAAAGAGAGAGAGGGGGGGGCGGGGGGGGGGGGATTAGTGGGCCACAGGGCTATAATAGAAGAAGACCACCGGGAATGATATGGTATCAAAGATAGAGAATCTTTGTCCATTTTAAATTGTAGCCGACCCGCTGCAAGTGATGTTGAAGTTCACCCCCTGTTACTGAAGGCTACCAAATAATGATTAACGAATGGGAAAGGTTTTTCTTTTAATTGCTTAGATTACTTTAATTACTACCTATGTACCAGTTGTTTCTCCTTTGTTTGATCTATTCTCATTGGGGTTTCTACAAAAAATGAATGGTGTTTTTATGCCTCACCCCCCCCCTTTTGTCCGAAATCGACACGATTTGGATCATATTGAAGGCGAGATATATATATATATATATATATATATATATATATATATATATATATATATATATAACATCCCATCAGAAAGATCAATACATGTACATGTACTCGATAAAAATTTTCCCGCTCAGGAACCGAACTCGAACGGTTTTCCCATGTGGGATTCTCTCAGAGAGAGAGAGAGAGAGAGAGAGAGAGAGAGAGAGAGAGAGAGAGAGAGAGAGAGAGAGAGAGAGAGAGAGAGAGAGAGAGAGAGAGAGAGAGAGAGATCTATAGGCCTTGTGCGAGAGCGGAGCGCCTGCCCATACACCACAGACGCCAGTTACTAGGCTAGTTAGAATACAGAGAACACCGCCTCACTAAACTACTTTGAAGTGATAAAAGTATGCAGTTATTAAGGTCGTTAAACTGTTATAATACCACGTGACATACATGAAACCTTCCAGAGCGCGTTTAATTAATTCTGAACCAACCTCTTTTAAAAAAAAATTACGATATGGGCGTTTTATGCCGCTATCGACACAATAATATTATTTATTATTTATTAGATTCAGGAGATGGGCTTCCGACCCTGCCTTTCAAGGCCAACTCAGGCTGAGAGAGATACAACATATCCCACCGGAAAGATCAATAATATATATATACATTAGGCATACAGAGAATCCTGCTTCACAGAAATTTACTTTGAAGTGATTATAAAAATATGCTACTGTACGAGTATTACTGGCCTACCCCTCTCACTCTCAGGCTGTAGGCTACCCTGACAGGCAAGGTGAAAAACAGCCTCCTTTTATTTAAATTGTGTGGATGGCGAAATGCCTTTCACGAGTACGATCCAGACACCGGCCAGATTTCAACGCTCCTTGAATGATTTCACGTATATCACGTAAGCTTAGTACACAATATTCCTGCACATGTAGGCCTATTATAACTATAACGGTAGTTTAACGCCCCTCTATTTAAACTATAATACTTAAGGACTACAGAGAAAAACTGGGGTACCGGTACCCAATAAAAATTTATGATTTATCCCCACTTAGAAATTGAACTCGGGTATTCTGCCAGCGACAGCGCGGTACCCTTAACCTTAACCACTACATCACAGACGCCAGCAGTTCATCCTCGTTACCAATATACCCGTACACATTGGAAATTGTCCAAGATTGCCGCCCGTTGCCGAGTAGAAAAGTGGTTGTCTAAGACTGGTGGACGTCTTGGACAATGTCACAAATAACTGTCACAAAAAGAAAAATAACCAGGGTGGGGGGGGGGGGGGGGGGGGTAGAGGCGTTTCTTTTCAATAGGTGGTTGTCTTGGACAGGTGGCTGTTAGAGCGGGTTCGAATCTAAGTCAAATACATGTACATGTAATGCATATTTTTTGTGTAAACGTAGTTGTTTCAAGTCTGACACTTCATTCGACCAATGAGCTTGGTAATGACATATTTTGGATAGAGTTTTATTTAATTTAATTTATATTTCTATATTTAATTATTTTATTATTATTTTCTTTTGTGTGTTTCACTGCGCTCGCAGCTGCATAAGGTCATATGAGCGCGCGGGACACCACACCCCCCAAACATTTTCAATTGGTAGGAAATGTTGGAATTTTGCACAGGTGGCGGCCGAAGCCTCACTTATCGATTTTGGACCACCAAGGGATCTTTAGCGTGCGCAACCTGCACACGGGACCTCCGAGATTTTTCGCCCTTGTCCAAAAAGGCTAGGTGTAGATCTTTCCTATCAGAGGATAAGGGGCGTGGCTGAAAGACAGCAGTAAGAAGGAGCTAAGGAGTAGCAGTAGAAAGGCTGCAGAAAGAGTCAGGAGCCCAGTGGATGGAGCAAAGGAGGTGAGGGGGGGGGGAGGAAAGTGGAGACAAAAGCAGACGACATAATATTGCAAGAGAGAAGGAAAGAAGGTGAAAGGAGACAATTTTAGAGTAGAACATTTTTCCGTTGCTACCCGGATTCGAGCCTGGGACCTTTGAATGAGAGGAGAACACCTTAATCTCTAGGCCATGAGAGCCCCCACAGTTTTATTTACAGCACTTGCAACATGATTAGGACATTTAAGTAAGTGCCGAAGATTAGAGATGTTACATGAGAGTAACATTAAAACAAAAAAGAAAGGGGAGAGATTTAGTCTCGTGGCGCTCACATGACCTTATGCAGTTGCGAGTGCCGTAAAACCTCGACTAAAACAAACATTTAGTCTTAGACGACAGATACATTATATATATATATATATATATATTCGTATTTGATAGGGAAAAAGGAACAAACCACACCAGGGCACCTGCCAACCATCCTTGGGCTTGAAGGTTTGACAATGACGAGACAGTCGGAGGTCTCCACACATTGGACTTTTGACTCTGAGCTCACTGTTGTTAGCTAAGTTGACATGTTGCTGAACTGTGGTGGAGACGACCTCAGTTCGAATCCCTACTGTTGCGGTCTCCTCAGGGAAGTCATACTACCATTCTCCTTTACCCTCAGGGTTGAGTCCCATAGGGTATGGATTATACTAGATTTTTACTTCTGCGTCCAAAAATGTTTATTTTTCAGATTAATAAGAGTTTTAAGGCACTTGCAACATAAATTAGATAATATAAGCGCCGAGGATTAGAGATGTTGCAAGAGAGTAACAAACCCAAAAAAATGAAGGAGAGATAAGAACTGTAGATGTTTTATAGGAAAGAAGGAGCAAACCACACCAGAGCTCTCACCAGCCACCCACCCCGAAATAAGTCTAAATTGTGTTGAAAGAGGCATAATATTATTGCAACTACTGGAGACTGGCCCCAAAGGTGCAAAGCTGCCCGTGCAACAGTGAGAGATTTTCACTGCTTCTTCTGCCACTTTAGCGCCTGTAGTGTAGCGGTTAGTGATAGGCCCTCTGTTGTCATGCGGAGGAGACCTGTGTTCGATTACCCAATGGGGAGAAAATTTTCATGGGGTATCCCAACCTTCCAGCTGGGATTTGTCGGTGTCTTTCCGACGTTGTGAACTTGGGAAACGCACTTTACATGAACTTCCCACTTGGCTTGGTCCTTTAGGAGACGGACGTTAAACTAGGAGGGCCCGCCCATTATATAACCTAATACATGTAGTGTTGATTGTGGTTTTAAACCCATACCATTTCACCATTTTGGGGGACTTGTATCCTTCTCAGTCCGGCTTGTCCCTAAAAGTAACAGGCACGGTCAGAAACCCGCCTCCTAGATCTATATGATGACATAAATTGTGTTGATGGGGCGAACCCCCCCCCCCCCCCAACCTATCCGTACATTAAAGAAAACAAAACATTTTCCCCCTTTTATGTACAGTAGTAGTAGTAGTATTTGACAATAATATGTACATATATAGATATAAGAATTTGAGCTATCTGTGTTATACTATCGTTAGTTCTTTTTTCTTAAGGGGAGAGATCAACACCTCGGAAAAAGTCATTGTAATTGTGGATGTTTGACGCCCACGCTGACACACATTGGATCATTTAAGGCCCCTTTTGAGGTGCAGTTTATTCATTGACAAACTAACAGTTTAACTAACAGATGCTAGATCTGGGTCATCGTTAAACTGCCAGATTGTCGACGAGAGAAGTTCCGTTTAGACAGTTTTTTTTATCCTTAGAGTGTCAGTCACACAAAAAAAAAAATTTACTTGGTTAATCCCGTACTGAATTGCGTTCCACGTGTGTTTTTAAAACTAATTTTGGTTTGCAGATTACGAAAATCTCATTATTTTTTTAATTTGGCCAATATTTTGGAAAATTTTGGAAGGCATTTTCAACTCCGAATTGGGGAACATCAAACAAGTCGCCCCCTTCAGTTCGTTCGCCACATATCTGAAGGCAGGACTGAGAACCCTTCGATATCGAGAGGATTGTTCGTTTCCACGCTCAGTTTTAACGGGAAGTAGACGGGATCCCCGCCATTCTTTCGATATCCTACAGTTCGTCGATCAATGAACTGTACTGTACATGTAAAGGGCCCATTAGGAAGCAGGCTGCTTTGACCCTACCTGTCAGGATCAACCGGGGTTGAGATTGAGAGGGATACAATGTCCAAGCAGATGGATGGGAGATACTCAATCAATGACCCTGACCGATAAATCGAAATCACAATTTCAGTATGTGTGATGGTTAAAAACCCAACCATTACACCATAGATACCTGTAATTTGAAATGAGAGTCTCTTTAGTTTTAGTTTTCGTAAGAGTTTTATGGCACTAGTGACCCAAACAGGTCATACCCATACAAATGTGACAGACTATAGGTGTTACTAGAGAGTAAAGTACAAAGAAAAAAATGAGATGAGGACAACAGATGTTTGATAGGAAAGAAGGGGTAAACCACATCAGAGCACCCGCCAACCACCCACACAACATAAACGGCATCAGCCTCACTTCACAGTACTGTACCACAAACACAAAGCAAAACAAAATTTTTTTAAAAAGGAAGAATCAAGAACACACACACACAAGGTTGTAAAGTTGGAAGCGACATCTATATCTTCACACATTGACGACTCCTTTGACAAAAAATACCAGCAGTTTACAAGAACAATCGAGAACAGACTATTTCAAAAACCACTGGAGAGTTTCACAATTAATTTCGACCTAAAACATGCAAAAGTTCATGAAAACGAGCAAAAAATTCCAGTGAAAACATTGTATGCACCAACTAGACCAGTGCTCAGCACTTAGTCCTGCCTGCAGTCAAATGTAATTCCGTTACAACATCCAGTGGTATATTTCTGGTAGCAACAACAATTTTGCAGCGTAAAAATAACCCTCCTACAATCAATGGCAGGCTTACATATATTATAGTAGACTGGAACAAAAAGCAGCTGGGAATCTTTGGTTTGTACATAGGAGGAGGAAAACGGAAACAAGAGGAGGTAGATTCGACCTCGCGCTGTTACACGACATGCGACGAAAAAATGACAGCTTCACAACTAGAAAACATATTATTTATTATGGAGGAGAAATCTTTCCAAAGTGGTGGTAACAGTCACAAGTGTTAACAGCTTCTATAAAATAAAACATTACTTCTTCTTATCTTGCACTGTTGACGATAGAAAACTGTTCATCTCATCTCTAGAGGTCTAAAAGTGTCTACACTCTTCCAGTTTTAGAAGAAGGTATGAAGTCATCTTAGATTCATGTATAAACTATAGGAAACGACACTGTGGACCGAGACATTAGTAATCCGCACCGTCTTCCCAGCAGTTATTGGCTTCAAAATTACGTTCGCCAATAAATGCAATTAAAATGATTGATTAGTACCTACAACAGAATACTAAAAAATCTCATACCACCTCAATTCATAAATTAAACATACCACAGTTAATGTAAATCTACATTACGCTCAGCCAGGATCTGTGGAGTGGTAGCGGCCAAATTTTTAATCAATTCCCTTCTCACATCAATCAAACTTTGATTCGAAGTCAGTTTTTCTTCTTATTTTTCAAACCAAAAATGAAATCATCCCAGGGTCTGATCATTTCCAGTAGTCTGGTTGGTTGACAGTTTCTAAGAAAAAAACAACCCCGAACCCCTCTTTTCAGCACTTGTGAAAGTTGACAAAAACTTTGAGGAAGATTTCTTTCATGTTCACAGTATTAAATAGCAAATAAACATGCCATAAATTACGACATTGACTAAAGTGGTATGTAATCATATCCATTGTTATTCAAAAAGGGAATAATAAAACGGTAAAAATTCACCACAGATCAAGATACGGAGAAGAAAAAGGAGGTTGTCGTGTCACAAGTCCAGGTAGGGTACGTACGTCGGATTACATGTACGTCAAGGGATATTTTTAGGGCATATTACATGTACGGATTACATGTACGTCGAGGGATCTTGTCGGGCATATGAAACAATGTTTGAAAGATAAGAAAACTCAGACCAATAAGTCCATCGGTAAAAATGTTGCCAAAAGTTTTAAAAAAACAAACCAGAATCAGATTCCTGTAAACTTGTATGTTGAACCTTTTATGAAAGGAGGACAAATTTGAGGATAGATAAGATATCGAAACAGCAAAAAGTGTTCCTGAATAACTCATGGGGGTGGGAGGGGGGAGGGAAGAGAGCCTGTGACAGACTGTTCCTAAAAATTAATTCAATCCCACCAAAGACATAACACTCCTGAATTAAAAAATAAGACCCACAATGATATATAAACTTGTCCGACTTTCAATCAAATATATGTAAGATTGAAATACAACTTCTCAAATATCTTTTAATATTAAAAGTCTCATTTAATATTTATTCGAAAATTTCAGTAGAATAAACTATGTGTTTAAATTTCACATATTATAAAATACCAAGACAGATTTGTTCGTGTTTTTGATGCTAGGGATAAGGATAAAATTGAAGATTCAATTCAAATAAAGGCCTAAAATCCCTACCCAAATGGATAGAGAGACAGTTACCACAGGGCCTAGATTGATTCTTTGGGCACAAAATCAATATCTCACAGCCCCGCCATGTTTACACATTTGATTACGATAAAAATTCCCCAAGAGATGTCACTGAAAATGTGCCTAGTGGTGGTGGTGAGGACAGTTGGGGGAGGGGGG